TCCTCAGATGCTGTCTGCCTGGCTGTGCTTTTTCAGTCTCACAGCACTTCTAGAAGGGTGTACAGGGCAAATGGCCTCCATCTGTGTTGCAGCCACACTAAACTGAGACACCATCTGTCCACACCAGTGGGTTTGAAATACAGCCCTGATGCTTTCAATGGGTTAAAAAATATCCATGATACCAGGGATATAGGTACATCCTGAAGCAACATCAACAAACATTCTGATCATTATCATGTTACTGCTTTATGGGAAGCAAACACCTGAAAATGCTGGAGCCACACGGCAGATCTGGCAGAACCTGGGGAGAAAAAGAGTTAAAGTTGAGAGCAAAATGATTCTTCGTTAACAGCTTTATTGGAGCTTGCTGTGGATAGATTTGATGCCTTTTTGTTCTACAATAGTATTTAATTGGCTATAAAACATTTTGTTGTAGCCTGTGATTACAAAAGGAGTTATACAAGTACGACTTAATGCTTTATTTGTTTGTTTTGTTTGGAGGGGAGACGAACAGGAATGGGTGTTACACAAGGCAATGCTTTTAACAAGGTTTCTCACCTTAAATACTAACCTGCCAAGGTCACCAAGGAATGGCCAGTCACAGGAACTCACGCTGCCCTTCCCACCTTAAAACTTTATCCTTAAAACTGGGTAAAGTGGGAACTTCGATTTAAACAAACATCAGCTAATTATAGCTGGGACAGAAATGAGGAAGCTCCCTGATACATATGGTTCCACTTCAACAAAAAAAAAGCACAGTAATTGGGAAAACTGTCTACTCTTAAAATGACAATTTTAAATACAGTGTAAAAGAAAAATCACTGTTGGTAAGAAACAAAATGTGTTAACAGCAGGTGCTGTTTTCCTACAGAAGGGGCAGTTACAAAGCAACATAAAGCAGAGAGATAGCTGAATGAGTTAATCTGTGTGACCTTCATTGTGACTGCAACAGGAGATACTGAGCAAAGGTTAGCAACTGGGAAAACTATACACATATCAGCATTCCCCAAGAAGGACATGCCCCATGAGTGGTTACAGAGCAGCACTGGCAAATGTGTTTGATACAAGCTTAACTTGGAAGGTAGAGGAAATGGCCTGATGCATGGCTAAGCTGGTGTACATTGCAAGTTGGAGATTTGCCATCCTTCCTGTGGTTTGGGGATGATTAATGATAGTGAGGAGAGAAGCAGTGCATGGGAAGAGGGAACATCGGCTCTTGGGACTTAAGAGTAAACCCTTCAGTCCTTAAGCCTGCTCCCCCATTCAATTGGCAGAATAAACTCAGTGGGCTGAAGGGCCTCTTCTCCACTGAGAGATTATATGAATTAGATCATTGACTTATCCTGTTGTGGTCTCAGCTCCACTCTCCGGTCTACCCCCATAGACCTCAACTCTCTGGTAAATCAAATATCTAACTCTGCCTTGAATAAATTTGATGACCCAGGCTCTATTACGTTCTGGGAAAGATAATTCTACTGACATTCAGAAATAAAACTTCCATCTCAGTCTTGAGACTTCGTATTTTTAAATTGTCCCTTAGTTCTAGTCTCCACCACAAGAGGAAAGATCATCTGGTAGCCATCTTATCAAGTCCCCTCAGGTCTTGAATGATCTTCAGTCAACAGGAGGCTCTAACATGCACTGAACATTTACTTATGATAATTATGGACAGTGATGGAGTGGCAGCCCAAAATTGGAAAAAAGGAAACCTGATACCGAGAGGCAGATAGCCAGGTGTCTATTGTACCTTGTCTGAAGACATACTTTCTGAACAGCCAATCATTAATTTTAAAAGAGTGTACTCTCATGCTTGATTCTTCAGAGAAAAATTTCTCTAAGGTATTGAAAAGGATTTGATAAGATAAACACATCAATTAGATCATCCTTCAATCTCCTTTATAGAAGAGAGTACAAGGTACATTTTTGGAAAGGGATAAAATTAGCATAGTAGTAATTTAAATAAACAAGAAATCCAAAAGACTGGACTAGTGATTCAGTCATGAATTCAAATTCCACCGTAGCAGCTGGGGAATTTAAATATTGCTTTATTAAATATGCCTAGAATAAAACATTAAATGGTGACCATGAGACAACTGGATTGCTGTAAAAACACTCAGTGGATTGACTAATGCCCCTTAGTGAAGGAAATGTCTTCTTATTGCATCTGGCCTGAACATGACTGTAGACCAACAGCAGTGTAGTTGAGTCACATCAGCTCTTGGACATAAACGACAGTGCAAGCCATTCAGTAGTATTGAAGGAGGTGATTCACCATCACCTTCTCAAGGGCAACAAACACTGACCTGACCAGAAACGCCTACATCCCTATGAATAAGATAATAGGCACACTTGCCCTCTTAACTGAATCCATTAAACACTGGCACCATTCTGGTAATACTACACTTCACCTCATATCTTTCCTGAACTGTACACAGCACAAGGAAACCAGAAGGCCAGATTGAGTACTAAACAGCAACTACAGGGGAAAAGAAAAAAGGTACTGTATTGGATATGAACTACTTGGAGGCATTTGTTCTTAGTTGCAGTGCTGGAGCCAGTGAGGGGAATACATATCCCAGAGCAAGCTGCAGTAGCAGGTACCTCAGAATCCAGACTAACCACCTTTAATTAGTGACTTACATTTCAAGCTTTGAGTAGAGATTAATTTGTGTAGGAAAGGAGGGGAATGAAAGAGCATCCGACACTGACTAAATTGGCTTGTAAAGTACAGACATGTAGGTGTTCTTAATCAGTTAAAATGCCAACTGTAAACAAACCAAGATCCAGAGTCCCCATAAAGCACGAAAATGAACAAGCAACAGGTGAGAAAATGTCATTATAATAACTACTTCAATCTTGAGGATTGAAATATTAACAAAGCTCAAGAGACATCTCGAGTTGCGCACTAATCATAGACCAAATTACAATCCCTCTTGTTTGTTTACCACACTTGAATGAAAATGCTGCTCCAACAGACACACTGTTCTGGGAGGGACAGAATCTAGATAGCAGGGAGAGCCAGGGAAATGGGTAGAATATAGCTCCTACCTTTGGCACATGGCGTGTGACTGGGATTTTGATCCCTATTGTTATCAACCTGGGTCACAAGCTAAGGTGAGCAGAATTCTGTATACCAATCTGCAACAGTCTTAGGTGTACATAAAGGGTAAAAACTGAATACGTGAACCAAAATTAATCACTTGTGGATGAGAATAACTGCAGGACTTGCTCTGGAAGGTTTTCATGTCAATAATTCCAAAGAGAGTACTGCAGGAAAAAAATCCCTGTAAGAAAAGAAAGATAAAGTCACCATAGCCCTACAGGACCATAGGGGCTGCTCTTTCATTTGAGAGAGATGCCTGGTGGTGATTTAACCTAAATGGAGGAGGAAGGGCCACAGGGTAACTTCAGACAGTGCAGGAATCAAACCCACACTCCAGTCACATGACTCTGCATTGCAAACCAGCCATCCAGCAAATTGAACTAATCAACCGCCTTAAACCACCCGAGAAGCAACTGGATCTTGTAATAGTTAAAGTTTATTCCCTGAATAAATTAACCAAAATGATCTCAATGTCAAATCTGGATTGAGGGTCAATTATTTTAACACCATGTCCACTTGATTTTTCAAAAACATGCAGCAGTACATTTAGGGCTGCCCTTCTGAAATTGAGTTAAGCCTAGAGAATTTTGAGCTTCACAAGAACAGGAGTAGAAGGATGGTAGATCGAGGCCTGCCATTGTATAACAATATGGGTGATAAGTTGCATTTACGAAAACTGCTATGTAATCTCAGGAAGTCTTGCTCTCTCAAACAGCATATGAACAGATAACATGTTTTTGTGATGGTAAGTGATAAATATTGGCTAGGACACTGTGAATAGTACCCTTGCTTTTCTTCAAAATAGTGTCAAGACACCTTTAAAGATCCCTTTAAAAATACAGGTTGATTCAAAACAATATGAAAGACTGCATCTTTGACAGTGCAGTACTTTCAGTAATTGACAGAATATTTGTGTTCAAGCTTTCAGATATCTGAACCCTTAACCTTCTGCCTCAGAGGCAGGTGCCCTTACAACTGGCCCAAACCCAACAGATCTTGCTGAAATAAGGAATGGCCCATTTTGGACTGATATGCAGAGTAATTCCTTCATTCAAAGGGAGATTAATGTTTTGGAATTCTCTGCTCTCGAGGGCCATGGAATCTCGGTCATGCAGTATATTCAAGACAGAGACTGACAGAATTCTAGATATTGAAGTGATTGGGAATAGTTCAGAAAAATGTTGAGGTAGAACACCTACGATTATCACATTGAATGAGACAGGAGCTCAGAGAATAGCCTATCCTGTGTCACTGCATTAATATGAAGTTACAAGTTTAACAAAACAATGAAGTACAGTGTTGGTGCATAAATGTTGATGAATCCCAGGTAGGGCAATACAAGGTGTGTCAGGTATAACATTAGGCTTAGAGTAATTAGGTACAAACATTAAAGCAGAGGCACAATGGAATAACATTTTCCTTCATTTGACGTTTCAATCTGTTGACCTATGCTATACTATTTGAATAATTTTATCCCGGTCACTTCTTCTGAGTAGAAGTACCACCTTGCTGTCTGGCTAATGAAAATGGATTGTTCATTTGCACTGAAAACCACTCACTTCTCTCCATAAACTTCTTCTTACCACTGTCAAGATTCAAGCATGCTTTCCCTGTTCTCAACGCATTTGCTCCTCTGGATCACAAATCTGTGATGTGAACCACCTCTCTCAGGACTTAAGCTGCAAATAACTTTTAGAACTCAAATCTCACTCCACTCAGCTCACAACTGTTAGGCCTCCATATTCTTGCAGGCAGGCCGGCAATGCTCAATCAAGAATGAATAAACTTCCACCTCTCCCGCTTTTAATTTCTGCCACACCCTGCTCTATAGAACCCAGACCTGCCAAAAGTTTCTTAAAAAGGTCAAAAGTGCACAAAAGGAATAATTTCAAACCACTTTTCTTTAAAAGAATGATTTATTAACTATGATACATAGCACATGGCTGTAGGGTTTCTTTTTACAACATTCCCATTAAGACAAATTACTTCAGCAAATACATGGTTTATGCAGGAGGGGAAACGTAAGCTCACCCTCAGCTTAATCACATGCACTCTGGGTTGAATTGGTCCTGATCACCATTCACAAACTGCTTTGTAAAAGAAAAAAACTTTAGTTTTAAAAGTATTTGTTCAATTTTATCTAAAAAGGAATTTAGCCCATTCTAAGTTCTGGGTCTCCATTAGAAAGGAGAAGGCATTTCTCTGAATCAATGTGCATGATTTTTCATTTTTTGTTTACATGAAGTGACCTCTGCTTCATGGCTTCGCACAAACTGGAAAAAAAAAGTTCAGCAGCAATGGTGCAGGTGGACCGAGCGAGATGTTCGAAGCAAAAGCTCTCAGGCACCTCCCCCCCCAACAACCCCTGAAGTCCACCAACTTGCCTTTTGAAATGGTGCACAATCCAATTGCCAAAGTTACCACCAGACCACAAAATACATCAATTCGATTAAACAGATTTCAGCCTCTTTCAGATCATGATTGACATTCACACGTGCATAGCTGAGGTGCTCACAAATTTCCAAATCTGCAGCAGTCAGAAGTGGGGAGGGAAAAAAAAAACCACAGGTCAGTGATTTGAGAACTGCCGATGTTGAATCGCAAACTTGTATTTCTCTCTTCATTAATTAGCCATGAGCAGTTGCGTTTTGAATGAAGTGCCAGTCTCCTAGTCAACCTTGATGAAGCCCTAAAATGCTGGGAACGTTCGATACTTGGTGCATCTGCATTTATGGACAAGGCCAAAAGGTAGCAGTGTTCACATGGTCTCTTCACTTCATCCATCAACACAGCCAGAGCTTCCACATGTAGGTCATGTACTGCTGTGGGTTTGAAGCAGTCAAAAAGCTGCCAGGGCAGCAGAAAACTGAAGAAATACCATGAGGCAGAGAAGAAAGAGGGTGTATGTTGCCAGTTTCCAAAAAGGACCCAAAGCTTTCTGGCACAGGACTCAACAGTTAAAACAACCATTTTACTTTTAATAAAATGAGAACTTGTAGTACAAATCGCTCCAAAATGAGAACTATTTGAATAAATGCAACAAAAAAAAGTTCTAGACACCAGTAATAAAGGATGTGAGCGGTTAGCCTTTTAGGAACACAACCAACCATTCTTTACATACACAGTTACTATTTGTGTAAAGAGTAACACCTACCCAAATTGTCAGACCAATATCACATTATATATTCAAAACACAGTTTATTTTTAATTCAAATAAGTGTTAATTATCATAATGAAAACATTTTACAAGTGTAGCGTACCAAATAAGATGTCAGGTGCAGCTCCATCCCCATTTATCCCCCCCAGCTTCCTCAGTACAATCATTGAGGAGTAACTCATTGGTGTTTGACAGAGATTGGGGATACGCCTTGAACAAATTCCTTTCAAATTTAAACTTCACCAACAAGCTCTTTGCTTTAGAGTTCTAGGTTACGCATTTAAACAGGTTAAAAAGATACACAGAGCAGCGATACAGATGAAACCAGGATAAACTTATGGCGAGTTCACTGCAGTAAAACTCATAGGTATAAAGCAGTCTGTTTGACGACATCACTAGATACACATCATTACAGCATTTTAATGCAAATAAGCCCACATCTTTTATAAATTAATATAATTGACCTTTTCAGCATATAATTTATAAACTGAATGTAAAATACATTTGAGAGTTTGGAACAGAAGTATGTAAATTATTAAAATTCAGTGAATTGAGTCAATTTGAATATCATTTTGAAGTTTTAAAGAACTACTGTGGTGCTTGTGAGACAGCCATTTTTCCCCACCTTCACCCTGTTCACTTGTACACCCACTACTGTTTGCAGGCTGGAAGCAGTTTTGTCAAATCTAGTGAAATTTCATGAGACATCTGGGCACAGTTTATCACTTACGTATCAAGAAATAGTATATGTATGACAAATCACTTCACTTAGTACCCCTACAGATGCAGAAGGTGGAAACCAGCATTACAGAGAACTGATGTATCCGCCATCAGTACTTTTGGACAGACAATAGAACTACTTGAAGTCAAAACAGAATTTACTGCAGAAACTCAGCAAGTGGACACAGTTAATGTTGAGTCCAATATGACTCTCATTTGGAAAGAGGTCACATTGCACTCGACACATTGTTTCTTTCTCCACAGGTGTTGCTGGACCAGCTGAGTTTCTCCAACACTTAGTTTTTAATTTCAGATCTCCAGCAACCACCATACTTTGTTTTTATTGTAGTACCACTTGAGTTGTAAGGTTGTAAAATTAATTGTCGTAGGTGGTAGGAAAACAGAAAAGATACATATTTACATTATAGGGGAGGGCAATAATCTCAAGCACAGTGATGGGTCATTCACATTTTTCAATTCATTACCTTCTTGTGCTCCATTTCAGAAAAATGTGAAAAATAAATCCTGGCAGTCAGGAGATTGAAGATGGCCTTCTCCATTCAAGTCCAATTAACGCACAGCCCAATTACCCAGATATACATTCAATAGTCCATTGTTCCAGTTCAAAATACAATCAAAAGATGAGAGGAGGGGAGAATTACCTGCATAAAAACGTAGCAGACTAAAGGGAAAAAAAAAACTTTACATTGGACAGGGAGTGAGCATCTTATATTAAAAAAAATGGAAAGGACTGAACCGTAACTATGTTTAAAAGAACGAGCACAAACCTTTTGAGTGTTCTTCTGTGGAAGTGCTACACCTTGCTAACAAAAAGATGTGGGTAGTTCACTTCCATCAGCACATGCAGAGTTTATTGAATGTTTCCCTATAATCATTTATAGGGAGCAATGAAACATGGAGCAGCTTACAGACAGTATGTTAGGTGGAGTAAAGGCGTTGATTTCATCTGAAATGATCAGTTCAGCAAACAGAGGATGGATTACAGAAAGAATGAGACACAGATGGAACAGACTAACTTAGGTGGAAATTAAGAAGGAACATGAACTACCTGCAGGGAAATACAAACGGCAATTCACCATGTGCATTAAATTCAAAACTACACCTGATTTATTTGGGGCCAATGCATCGTGATTGGAGTGTCCACTTTGTATTTTTATACAGCCTTGATGAAAAACCAAATACCCCAGCCCTGTTCTATTTTCTTCCACAAAACATCTCAGTACAGCCTGTTAACGTCATTGATCATAATAGTTTTAAGATTTATTTTAGGTCATTTGTCAACTTAGGAAGATATTCATTTCGCCACCAACCACATCTACCTTGATTAAAGATAGGGTACATGATGGTGGACACAGTAATTGGGTATGCACACATCTCACTTGGGAAAATTTCAAATAAATTAAAAACAGAAACAGTTTTGACACTTTTCTGGAATCATTTGCAAGCTCTGCAAATGTCTAATTTGGGAATTAGTTAACTTGCTCTTTAAATATATATATTCCTTTGATCGATGAAGTAATTTAAATTTTTTATTCCCTCACCTCTGCAGACTCTTACTGCGTGGCAGTTCAAAGGCATTAGCTGGCCCTTCATACTTCAAATGTTATATTTTTCATCAGTGAGGATAGACAAATGGATGTTGATGGGTTCCATGTCATGGGTGGCACCACAGCTAAGCCTATTTCTACCATTCTGCCAACAGCCACACATGTAGCCTCCAACTGGAGAAAGGCAGGAACAGTGGCAAAGATGTTTTGTTACCCTATCCTCCAGGGTGGTCAATTGGCATTATCTATTGTTTCATCTTGGTCTACATTGCTCAGGACTTCACACTTGATAATCAATTGATCAACTGAGCCATTTGGCAAGGTTCCATTCAATTTCCTTTCTAACAAAGGAACACTCCGAGTCTACACTTAGCATTAATGACCCTCTCCTTTCATTTATAATGCAACACCATTACTCCAGTTATTCTATGCACATTTATTTTGTAATCATGAAAATTATAGCAAATTAACAGCCATAGAAAGAACTGTTTTGGACAACGCCTGGACTTTAAATCTGTCTCAAGTATATGACAAACCACATAAGGGTGGACAAATCCCTGAACAAACTGGATAACAAACTGGCTTAAATAAATCCTCCAGTCGCCCAGATAAAGATGGGAAACTGATCTTTTTCCATGCACGACCTGCTTTCAAAGAGAGACACGATGAAGAAATGAAAATTGGATTGTAGTCTGAGTTTAAATGAAGGAACTAAAGGCACCACACAGGAGATGAAGAGTCCCCGCTGGCCTTCCTAACATAGCTTTCTACCACTGTGGGCTCACTGGCAGAGTGGGGTTTGGAACAAGTAATACGTAGACCTAGGTGAGTAACAAGGAAAGACAGAGAGTTTCAACTCAAAGTCAGACAGTGCAGAATAGGAACTATATTTTTTATATGCAATCCTTCCGGATTGTCAAAAAGTTAGACTACCAATTTCAGGAGGCAGTTCTGTGTGGTAAGCTTGTGAAACCAGAAACTAGCTCAATGCTGTCCTAAGCTGGGATTTATAGGGCCTGCAGAGACACATTCATCAGTCTGGCCTGGAAAAAGCTGTGAGAGTGAGCAGTGTGCAAACCATCTCGCATTATGTAAGTCTCTAGTGCACATTTGTACAAACTTTCCTACTGACACCAAACAGAATATACCTCAGACTGGAGGCAAAGTGTGGTGAATGCTGCAAGATATTTTGTGGAACCCACTTTATCTTTTCAGTTGAAGAGTTGGGGATGGAGGATTTGGTTATTAGTATACTACGCCTGATGCTTAGACAGATGTACATAACATACAAGGGACAAACTTATTTTAGGGGAGGGTATGAACACAAATCTTGGCAGAAGAAATGAGGAAGAGGCATCTTTTAAGTTTCTCAGGAGCTAATGTGAAAATGATATATATTTTATAACGATTTGTATTGAGTTTCAATCTCATGTTTACACAAAAGAGTCAGCAAGCTATAGAAACACTCAAGTTATCCAATGCATGGAGGTATTTTTTAAAATTGAGTGGTCTGCATTTAAATATGTAGAGATTTCTTCCGCTATTTTTCTCCCAAAATTAAAACTTTACTTCCCACACTCAGTCCTTCAGCTTCATTATCTTGGATATCATCTGTCTTGAAGCTACACAAGACTATAGTGTTAGCATACTTGTGAAATTTCTCCGCTTGCACTTATTTCCTAATATCAATCCAGTAAAAATAAAATGTTTAAAGCCTCAGCGTAAAGAGCAAAGGCATCCTGGATGAATGCATTGAACATCTATACACAAGAAGAATAATTTTAAGAGTGTTAAATGCTTACTTTTGAAGGGGAGGGAACAACTAAAACCACTGAATTATTTCAGGAATTGACCACATTTGATCATCAGTTTGAAGAACAGCCTCCAGGTGGGGCTAATACCACTAAAAAAAAAGTTAAAGTGCAAATTGATCAATAGGCAATTGTGCAAAAACCCCCAAACTAGTTAAGTTTCAAACAGCTCAGATATGGTTTATTTTGACAACAATTACTGCAGAAAGCTGAATGCATTGATATACAAGGTATTGGGTACATCCTTCTTAACTGCAAACCAACCTTTTTTAGTTCAGGAAGGTTTTCTTAATCGAAGAATTGTCATTACTGCTCAAATCTAGGATCATCTTGCGTTTCAATTTATGTGCTTCCTCAAAATTGAGTGGATTACACCATCCTGGATACATCTGTAAGGTATTAAGCATCCAAGACTGACTTGGTTTGGCTTGTCCTTGCTGCTGACAAACATTTCAAGCTGTGCACCATGTCCCATCTTCTCATTCATCCGAATAGTTATCAGGTAATATCAAAAAACTCACTATGTTGTAAAGCCCAGATTAATTCCTCAATTCAGGACACAAGACCATGAGCTATCTCAAGACAGACAGAGCAAGAGAGCGAGGGGAGGTGGGGAGGAGCAAGAGAGCGAGGGGAGGTGGGGAGGGGCAAGAGAGCGAGGGGAAGGGGTGGGAGGCTGAGGTGAGGAGGAGGGGAAGAGGACAGAGGAGTATGAGAAGAAATTTCTGTAGTGTTACTACCTTAGGAAGAAAAACAGACACGATGATAATCACAACTTTTAACAGAATCCCAGAATACTGGTACCGTCACAAAGCAATTTCATCACATCTAGATACCACAAGTTAGTAAGATGTAGTTTACTGGACAAGCAGTGCTCCATACAAATGGATGTTTGCAGGGTATTGGCAAGATGAGAAAAACAAAAAGTTAGCAACTCTCCTCTGTGCACGAGTCTGCTCAGAACCTGAGACTTTCCTTTTCTAACAGACTCTCTTTCCCCATAATGATCCAGTTCTGAAGTTACAGCAAGGCAAGATGTGGCAGGATCATATTCAGGCTCAGCTTCAAGGTCAATTTCCATTCCCACCTAAAGACTGATCTGGAAAACATCACCACAGGCCAGCTACATTTGGGTTCAAATTGATTTAAACCTAAAATTATTTTGATGACACTTTTTGCATAATGAGGCTAATTTATAAAACCCAACATGCTAAAGTATCTGTTCTTTTACTTTGATGTTTACAGCTGTTATCTGGTGCTTTGCACACAAACCCAATATCATTCCTCCAATAGTAAAGAGGGAGAAAAAATTGAAAAATAATCAATGGTTTTGTAAATCATTGGCCTCTTTCTTCACTGATGCACTGGGGAATGACTTGCCATGTGTGGTGTGGTGGTGGGGTCTTGAAGAGGCATAGAACCCAAGCTAGTGCTGCACACCAACTCCTTTCAGTATCATCTGAATTGTGAAGACGGTTACAAAAGTTCACTGAAATATTTTATCACTCAGATTTATTTAGCTATTAACGTTTTCAGATAACAATATCGAACACAAAATAACTCAATTTTGCTTTCAGCCAATTTCATTCAATTTTTGATCCAAATTCAGCAGGGGATAAACAGAAAATTAGACAGCCTGTTAATCCCCAAAAGGGTAACTTAGCTTTGTTTCCCTTGTAAGGGAGCACCGCTCAATTCGAAAGGAATTAATGCCCAAATGCTGCAGACAAGACACAGTGCAAGACTAGCCACTTATTCAACATCAAGTCAGATTTGTCAAATCAATCTATTTTCAGGAGCTACTTCTCTGTCTAACCATGTACATCGTGGCATGGCTTCTGCTGCTGGAAGATTTGCTGGTTATCAGTTGCAAGAAGAATTCCAATTTCAGATAAGACCATACCAATCAATTTCAGAAGTAGTCTATAATCTAAAAAAAAATTTAGACTGCAGCTCCTTTTACTCATCTGCCACACCAGCTTGTAATTCAGAAATGGATGAGTTAGGGATAGAGACTCAGGCAGACAATTGCATCGTTTTTAAAAACATAGTTTCAAAACTAAGCCAGGCCTTCCTAATGAAGTAGAACTTTGTTAACTTTGAAAATCTGGAATCATTAATCAATCAGTAATCGCTGGTGGCTATGTATGAATCATCCTTTCCCAATATCTACCAGTCATTAGGATCATAACTGGGAGGCAAGGCCTGTGCCAACACAAAATTTTTTGACATAGAATCAGAACAATCTATTCTTAAAACATTCAGAAATATACATTTGCAAAAAAAAAAGATATAAAGTTGAATAATTGGTCAGCGTCTTATATGGAAACAATGGATCACTGGGATGTCCACTTCACATTTTGCCCAGTCAATACGCACAACATTGACTAGATACAAAAAAAAATCACACACACACAAACACATAACATTTTAGTGTTTGTTCTATTATTGGAGAGACCATAACTGTACGTACCATACCCAAATTGGCAGAGCTGGATACTTAGATTAACTAAGTGTTTTAAAATTGATTCGCTGGCACAGCCCTATGGGGGGAAAGAAATGCTAAGAACACACTGGCTAGGTATTGATGAATTTGCCTCCTGACCTGAAACACATGATTTGTTACAAACTCTAGACAGGAGCTTAGTAGTTCAAAGAACAAACTGCTAAAAATAATGGTAGTGTTAATGAACAATGGCATGTTTCATAGCAACTGTTGCTCAGCTCATTAAACAATTAATTCTTGCATTTACAGTGGCATGTGTAATGTAGGCTCTCAGACTTGGGGCCGTGGAATTTGAACTTTAGGATTATAAAACCTCAATATATATATTTTAAGAGGACCCCTCATGCAGCCTTCACACCAACTTTGACAGTGAACTGGTTCAGGACTGGCGTTGCTCAGGCATTTAGTTGTACATGTTTATATTTTTGATTCTCCTCCAGCCCCCATTCCATCTCCTTTAGGCACTGATTGGTGCTGAGGTATGATTTAGTGGGCAGTGGCCACCCTACAATATCTTGCCAATTTGGCCATTCTTCAAGTTTCAGCCGAGTGAGGCTATTCAAACAGGATCTATCACAGCACTGCTCAATACAGTCCACGCATATTTGCTTTTCTAGCAGACATCAGTGGGCAGAAAGGTCTTTGTGATACACATCAAAAGTGAAACACCTCAGGATGGTTATAAAACATTAAGTGATAGATCATGCATGTGCTAACATGCCATTCAAGCATTATAATTATTTATTCTTTTAACAAAAAAAAAAATGCCATTTCAGAGGAAGCCACATCTAAACCACCTTAACTACTGCCTGGACGGATGCAAGGCACCAGCCAAGATACGTTTAATTTTTGCGCAATTAAAAAAGGGATGGGGAACACACAAACCATCGAAAGTGATGGGAAAGTTTGACATGAAGTTGGCTGACACTTTTAGTTGGCAACAGGTTGTCCTTTTGTGTCAAGAGGCTCCTAGTTAACACTACAAAGAAGCAGGTCTGGCAAAAAAGGGTAAAGATGGGGCAGCAGTGGGGGCAGACAACAAATGTGGCCCTGAAGATAGGGCAAGCATGGAAGGAGGAGGAAATTCTGCCCATAAGTAATGATCCAGGACAGTTTCAATCAGATTCTGACAGGGACCAAATTAGGCATTTGCTAACCAGAACAGATCAAGCTAGTGAGAACGAGACAAAAGAGGTTCTAAAGTTCCACAGACATCAGCCACTGAAGCTGTATTGATATTGGGAAAACCAGCATTAAATCTCCTTTTGCACAAAGCACTTTCATGCAGCTGCTCACATCATTGTTATACAGACAAACCTCTTTACTACAAGCTCTACAGAATCTTAGGACACACAGATTTTATCATAACATTAATTTAGTGTGTTTTTTCCTTAAAACAAATGTCCCAAGGTTAGAATGGCTTCCCAAATGAACCATCTTTACAGACGTACATCTACATGCTGGGCTCGGTCATTCTACCTAGGATAACTGCTCATGTTCACACCTCGCTTTCACAAATATTGCCACGAGGCTGTGTCCACTGGGCACATCTGCTGTGAATTAACACAGTCCGCTTGAAATTTGCGTTTATTTTTAATAAAAGGTTAAAATAGCAGCACGTGATCTCAAAAACAATTCTCTAAGCAAGAGTTGGCACTAACCAAAAGTAAATAAAGCAACTTTCTATATTGGCTTAGAAGGGAACAAGTTTAAATTAAATAAGCAGTAGAGTTTGTCTGTATAATGAACTGTTTAAACATTGTGCATTTTGAGAAATCACTCTGTAGTGGAATCTGTGCTATTTGTGTTTCACAAAACCCACTGTGAAGTTATGGACTGTTTCTTTTTGCAGTCACTGCAGTATTTGGGTATTTAATCAATTTCCTTAGTGCCATGACATTTGTTACAACTATGATTACACTGCTCTGTACAACAGAAAAGGGTTCCATAACCCAAGGCAGTTTTGAAAAAGAACCCAGTTATGATACCTGGCATATTTATAACCCAATTCACAGTTTACTTGGCCGTTCCGTCTGCAGTTGTGTTCACAGATGTTGCTGAAGTGGCCTCTAAGGTGTTGGGGGAGGCGACTGTGGTGGTGAAGGAATCATTGTTACAGGTGACGGGCACTGAAAGGCAGTGTTCGAGGTGGGGGAACTGGGAACAGCACTGATCAGGTCCATGATTGGCTTGTCGTAAAAGAAGAAAGGGCACTGCTGGATGAAGAGCTCGATGATAGTCTGGTACGTCCTGGTAGCTGTCAGAGCATCCATGGTCTGAAAGTCAGGCCTCATGAGCGTGGGCCAGAAACAGATGGAGAGATTCTCACTGTTCATCAGATTCAACTTGCAGTTCTGACTGACCCTGAAATGAAACAGAATCCAGTAGTCTATACAATACATTGAATAAAGACAGCATAAACAAAACATTTAGCTGCACCCTGCTGAAAGGAGCCTCCCTACTCCTTGTGTTACCACCTACTGAAAATGGTAAAGAGTACATTTCCCTCTTTTCCTGCACCTACAAACATCCCTCCCATCTCCCAAGACCATTTGGAACAGAAATGAACCCATCAGCATCACAAGGAAAAATCATTTCGTTAACAAAAAAAAAAGTACTTTTTCCCCCTTCCCACTGAAAACTGCCAATTAAAATAAATATTGCTGTGATTAGAAGTAACAGTTCAACCTACAGTTTTTAAGAATATAGCCAATTGTTATTTCAATGCAAAACAATGGTTATGTTCCTTCCTAACAGCACAATGGGTGTCCCTGCAGCTATTCAAGGAGGAAGCTCACTGCCACCTTCTCCAAAGCAATTAGGGATGGGCAATAAATAGTGGCCTAGCCACCAACATAAGCAAATTTAAAACAAAACCCTGGAAGTAGGTCAGGGAGAGGAGAAAGAGTGGATGATAGTACTAAAGCCTGGCTGAATCTGACTTTTTTTTGTTCCTCAGTTAGGCTGGTGCAAAGTGGTACAAGTGAGCAAAAATACAGTAGCTGAATGAAGGATCCTAACACGAAACAGAATGTATTAGGGGCTTGTAAAAACACTTGCAGAAGTGACACTACAGATAGTATTGCCAGAGAAATAACTGCCAGAGAAATTTCCCAGCTCTTTAATCAGCTTAAATGAGCATTAAAATGAAATAATGGAAGAGAAAATGGTGTACAAACATGGTTTACTGATCTAATAATATCAATAGCAAAAAAAAAAGTGGTGGTAAAATCTCCATTCTGAAGGATGTGGTTGCCTGGTACTTTTGGTCCTTCCAGATTGGGAGTTGCAGCCATATAATGGCAGGTCATCAAAAGTGAACTCAACAAGTCTAGTAGCTAAAGAAGTGGCCACTAAAGCTGTCATCAACATCCTCAAAAATAGGGAACCTGCCAGACCTACCCAGTCCAGCCTTGGCTCAGCGTTCTCCGAAACAGTATAGCCAAGGAAGTACAGCAAACTTGGTCTTAACTGGTACCTTATGAACCGGCAATCTCGACAAACTGGCAAAAATTATACATCTCAAATATTGGTAGTTCACTGTATTACTGCTATCTCTGATGTCAGAGTAGTCAGTTGAGGGCGTGAGTGAGAACGGTCTCTGCTGGTAAATTTTATATAAGGCAAAGTTGATTATTTAAGTGATTTATGCTGTAAATAAATTATAACAGTGATGTGTATACCCTCACATCTCTATTACTGTGTGTTTTTTTTTAAAAACATTGGAGGGGTCCACAATCAAACTGAATACTTGATTGCTGGAATATTGGATCAACTGGACACTCCTGGTCCCATAGGTCCCGGTTAATAAAAAGTTTGCTGCATCTGATTCCTTTAACTAGAGTAAAAGAAGCAGTGCCACCCACACCTGCTTCCATCCCAAAAGAAACAGTGACTTCAGATTTTGGGTCTACACGCTGTACAGGAACACCTTAGCTAGAAATGAAGAGAAAGAGGATACAAAATATTATAGCAGAGTTGATTTTCTTTAGACCATAGGGTCAATTTATATCCCTTGTGAGAATCTACCGTTTTATCCCATGAAAATTCTGGGATATAATCAAGTGCACACTTACTAGAAGTACCGATAATGAAGATTCCATTGAGTTTAAGTGAAAGATGTGGAACAAAGCTTTGATGAAAGTTTGACCTCTTTGGACAACTCTTATTACAACACAGTAGCATGGGAATTTCAGAACATATGTTATTTCTGCACTCGGGTCTAATTAAATAAATTCCTGTGCTCACTTTCAATATAGGAATTAATACTTATTTTTAAACAGGTTAATGCCTGCATTGAAGTGCACACAAGAATTTAATCTGACCTTGCTATAAAGAATACAGAAATACAAGGTCAGGAAACAATATGATAACTCCAAAAGGATCAAAACCTGGTCTGTAATTTCATCTCTATGGTGCTTTAGCTGAGAAAAACTGGAGTTGTAGCACAGGCAGGCCTATGCAGTTAGTAATTTTAAATCACACATACATGTAAGGGCAAGCATTTTAAATTCCTAAAGAGATTTACTATCTTCTTTGCCTTAAATTGATCTGTATCATTAGAAGAAAGAAAAAAAGACAGGTCTCAGTTATTTGAAATATTGGTTTATGATATCCTCTGCACCATTAATTAGCCAGGTCAATTAAGCAAAATCTTAATGCGGATAACCTTACTGCTTGTATCAAGCAATTACTTACTTGTTTAAGTGGGTGATGACATATTTGAAGACCTCATAATTCTCTTTAGGAAACTTCCTCAACACTTCCTTAAGTGCATTCAACTTTAGCTCCTTATCAGGCTGTTCTGAGGGAAGAAAAATGAGTAGTTTAATGCAGACAGCATGTGGATCATCACAGTGATTCTGTCATGAGCTGCATTAGAGTGGCAGCAGCCGAATCCACATACACTGCAACACAATGCAGATCCTACAGTGGAGGGTGGTATATGAACCTCAGTTCATTTTCCACATATGGGGATTGGGAAGGGGAGCGGATTTGATGAAGTGAGGAGAATCTTACCGCCCTTCACTGTTCACGGGTAAAGTTGATCACCTAACATAGTACAAAACCACAGAAAACAGATGAGCATGCATTAGATTCCTGGTCCGAGTTGAATTGATGGGAAGAAGAAAGCTTTATCATGGTAAAGGTTTCTTCACAAATACTGAAGTTCGCATCATCCAGACATACTGATAATTAGCTGATTACATTCCCTCAGGTAATTGTTTCCTATTTAACCATCAAACATTGTACTTATAAAATTGTAACCACAGCAAAAACAGCAAACATAATTGTATTAGCAGGTTTCAAAACATCAGAATTATCATAACTGAGAACGTTCCTTAACTTCTACACCTCTTCTATAAACTCTAGACAGAGCATCAGCAATTACAGTTTTCGTCAGCCACATGCTTAACTTTTAGTTGAAGAGTTGCAGCATCAAATTCCAGCAAAACAGGTGAAGATTGCTCAAGCAGAACTTCTCCAAAAGCACTAGTAGATTATGATCAGTGTAAATTTGTGACTCTCCTTGATTATTCAAAACATATTCGTCAATTTGTTGGAGCTCTAAGTCAGGGTCTAACAGTTCGTTGACAATTGTGGGGTATTTGTTTGTGAGGAGAGCAGAGGTAGGGGAACAGAAATGAACTATACAGCAACAGTACAGAAGAATGGTAAGAAATTCCATCAGCAGCACCTCTGCTGCATTCTCCAGATTCAATAGGAGGACCAAACAAATGCTAGTGTCCTTCTTGAAGACAGCTCTACAAGAATTCAGACACATCTCACGCCGAACTAATTTCAATGCGATGAACACTGTTTGAATGGCCAATACGTAATGCTTTTCTCAACACACACATTGCCAGCATTTCAGGGGAGGCAAAAGAAAACGCTAAGAAACTCAAAACTTCCCTTTAAGCGTAGCTGCACTGACATTAACGAGTGGAGGACCTTGCTACCAGTCAAAGTGGCAATCGTTTGATCATCAAGCTGCATCATACCTCTCAAGGAAAAAATGATACAAAAGAAGGAAAGATAAAAAGACGACAAATACTGGGTCAGTTGGTTTGTGAACAGCGTGGGTTCAATTCCTGTCACTAGCTGCAGTTACCGCGAAGGAATCTCCTTCTCAACTTCTCCCTTTGCCCGAGGTAATACAGTTCACAGGTTAAAACACCAACACTCGTCTCCCTCTAATGAGAGAGCAGCTCTATAGTCTGGTAAAACTATGGCGAATTGACCTTGACTTCCCTCTAGACCCCATTATTACATGGGACATTCTGCCTCACATACTAAAAATTTGTGGGTCAAGGATAAGCACGTTCAGTCACATGAAGACTCAAAAGAAACTCATGGTTGGGCAAACATTATCCTCACAGGGACAGCGAATGATGACTATGGAGGATTGCCAATGGCTGCAGATCACCTAGTTTGCCATTTGTGGAGTGTTGTAAGGAAAGAGTGGCTATCATTCTTACCTAATTAACAAACATGACTGTCCTTCAAAATAAACCCATTAGCCATATCTTTGGAATATTCTGAAGGATGCTATACAAAGGCATTTTCTTTCTACCACAGACTTTGTGTCGGTTCAGTACTTACTGCTGACATCTACCAGTTCGACCTGTGCACTATATGGGACTAGTGGCTCCGGAAGCTCTGAGAAGAAGCTTTTCATTGCTCCAGCTATAGTATTCACTGCAAAATCCTTCTCCTGTAGGACAATGTTGTGGTCTATAAACAGAAACAACATATTACAATCAGAAATGAGGATGATACACTTAACAATATAGACCTAATGCATTCAAATAAAGTCTTTCCTCTTCAATCTGAATCAATATTTCAAGAACTGATGATGCTGACCTCTTCATCTTCGATAAACATCGCCTAAGTGAGGTTTTCAAGTTGGGTTACACCGTGCATTTCAATTAAAAAGACTAAGGTATTCCTGTAGTTGAAACTTGCTCATTGTTGAGCAACTTTTGAGCCATGGAAATAATTGGGAAAGTACAATCAAGTACAGTATCAAAGAAAATGGTTATTCAGAGATGTACAGCATTGGGCTCGTTTCTGCATCCTACTTCACCAAGCTCAGGTAGCATGCCATCTATGAGACTCAAATGTCTTTGTTAATGCATAGATAGCCACAAGGAATATATTTTCAAGAGCAAGCAGTATTCATGATTCCGTAAATTGCCAGAATACAGTGAAATGGGATGGGACTACAGGAAAAATGCAAGCACAGACTTAGAATCTGGCACATGACTTTACCCATCACAAGACACAAAATATACATCTCTGTGCTCCCCCTCTTTGGAAACACACAGCAGCACCCCCACAATTCAAAGCAGTCAATTGTTTATCAAAGACTTCTTTCCCCTTCCACTTACCTTGATCAAATTGCCTCTGGAGACTTTCCATCTCTGACTTGTTCCCACTAACACGGTAAATTCCCTCTGTGCCCAGACCTTGAAGGAGAGAGAACAATTTACTCTTTTTCAAGAAGTCTGCTTGGCTCCACATACAAAATTTACTGCACATATTTAACAACCTCCTCAAACAGATATCAAAGACATCCGAGTGAACTCTGAAATCTGGCATAGCTGCAAAGATTTAAATAGAAACACTGAATAATCACAGGGTTGAGGACAATTACTCAACTGAGTGTTTCTGCTTCTTTTCATTGGTTCAGAAATTTTGCTGGTGGGAGCAAAAATGTGAAAAATGGAGCATAACGGATTGAGAAATCTTCATGTTGTCCACTTTGGAAGGAAGAATAGAAACAGAAACACAGAATATTACTTAAATGAAGAGAAACTGCTGAATGCTGTGGCGCAGATGTATCTGGGTGACCTTGTAGACAAATCACGAAAGGTTGGTATGCAGATTAAGCAAGTAATTAGAAAAACAAATGCAATGTCAGAGACAGCAGGAACTGCAGATGCTGGAGAATCTGAGATAACAAGGTGTAGAGCTGGATGAACACAGCAGGCCAAGCAGCATCAGAGGAGCAGGAAGGCTGACATTTCGGAAATGTTAGCCTTGGTTTTAGGGTAAATGGCGTATAAAAGTAGGGAAATCTTGCCACCAACATGCAGGGCATACGAGACAATAAGTGCAGAGAGTTTTGGTCACAAGAGAAGATATGCTTACATTCAGTTTAGAGAAGGTCGATTTTAAGATGAAGAAGCTACCTTATGAGGACATGTTGAGCAAGTTGGGTCTATATTTATTGGAGTTTTGAAGAAAGCGAGGGCAGTCTGATGAAACAGAAAATTCTGAAGGAAAATGTTGAGAGTATAGCTCTCCTTATTAAAAAATCTAAAATGAAGGGGCACTTTAAAAATAACAGATCTGCTATTTAATATGGAGACAAGGAAGCACATGTTATCTCAGAGAATCGATCACTGCAATTCAAGAGCAGTGGAGGCTGGGTCATGGAATATACACATGGCCAAATTAGACAGATTTTGATGAACATAATGGTACCATTATCAAAAGATAAACCACTGAACTACAGGTCAGATAATCAAACATCTATTGTAGGGAAACTACTGGAAAACTTCTGACGGACAAACTAATTTCCACTCAGAGAAGTAGGAATTTACCAAGGATGGTCAGCATGGCTCTGTACAGGGGAAGATCATGCCTAACAAATTTGACTGAATTTTCAGAGGTGACAGCCAGGTGTGTAGGTTAGAGCAGTTGATGTACTCTTCAGGGACTACAGTAAGACTTTTGACAAGGTCTTGCATGGCAGGCTAGTCAAGAATTGCCGTGGATCCCATCTGATGTCCAGAGGGGGGGGAAAAAAAATTAAATCTTAAGTCTAAATTAACAGCCAGCAGCAAAGGACCCTTAGAAGAAGAATTCAAAAACCTCAAATGCTTGATAGCTATATTAGCCATTAGAGAAATTGCAACAGCTGAAACCACATTGTCTGCTGAAAATGTGGGTATCTATTCAAGTCTTAATTTAGTGCACATTGAAGAGACACAAAGATTAGTGCTGGGCAAATATAATACATTTCCACTCTAATCAAATTTTAGATTTCCAGTGAAACCCCATGCACAGAAAATTATGACACATCTCCCAGTGCTCCCAGACCAAGTTCAGGGCAGCTTTAAAACAAGACAGCAATTGTTTCCACTAGTGGTACTCTTAAGAATCCATAGGAAATAGGTGCAATAAATTTCCACTTCTTCTGTTGCTTCCACATCGCTAGGTTTCTATTCACAACGTGTCCAGCTCTAAGACAATGACAGATTACTATTCAATACTGCTCAACCTTTCCAAAGAAGAAAGCACGATAACTATCATACCCAGATACAGTCTTAATAGTAATTCAGATGTTAAAGCTAAAGAACAAAGAACAATACAGCAGAGGTACAGGCCTTCGGCCCTCCAAACCTGCAACGACATGTTTTGCCCTTCCACACTAAAATGGTCTTCGCTTACTGGATCCATATCCTTCTATTTCATTCCTATTTATGTATTCGTCCAGGTGCTTCTTGAATGCTGCTATTGTGTCTGCTTCCACCACCTTGTCTGGCAGCACATTCCAGGCACTCACCACCCTTGTGAAAAATGTGGCTCCCCTCCCTCCTTGCACCTTGAACGTGTGTCACCTAGTAATTGACCCCTTCACCCTGGGGATAAAGCCTCCTACTTCCCACTTTATCCATGCCAATTACAATCTTATAAACTTCTATCAGATCGCCATTTAACCTCCTGCGTCTATCCAACCTTTCTTCAGAGCTAAAGTCCCCCATACCGGGCAACATCCTGGTAAAGCTTTTTTGTACTCTCTCCAAAGCTTCCATATCCTTCTGGTAGGTGTGGTGACGAGAACCATACACAATATTCCAAATATGGCCTAACTAAAGTTTTATAAAGCTGCAGCATAACTTGTCTATCCTGAGACTCAAAGCCCCTTTGAATAAAGGCAAGCATGCCGTAAGCCTTTTTATACTAACTTATCTACCTGCGCTGTCACCTTCAGTGATCTGTGGACCTGCACACTCAGCTCCCTCTGCATATCAATACTCCCAAGGGTTCTGCCATTCACTGTATAATTTCCATCTGCACTTGACCTTTCAAAATGCTTCACCTTACATTTGTTTGGATTATACGCCATTTGTCATTTTTCTGCCCATGCCTCCAACTAATCTATATTCTGCTGTACCCTCTGACAATTCTCCTCAGTATCCACAACATCACCAATTGTTGTATCATTTGCAAACTTACGAATTAGACCAGTCACGCTTTCCTCCAAATCATTTATGTTGACCATGGACACCAGAGGTCCCAGTACTGATCCCTGTGGAACACCACTAGTCACAGCCCTTCATTCTGAAAAGCATTCTTCCATCACTACTCTGTCTCTGACTAAACCAGCTCTGTATCCATCTTGCCAGCTCACCCCTGATACCACGTGACTTCACCTTTTGTACCAGTCTGCCATGAGGTCCTGGTCAGGATCCATGCCTCTGGAATCCCATCCATATAGTAGTGGGATTGAATGAGATGCAAACTCATTATATGTAGAATTATTAACACAAAGCAATTTTTAAAACATTAAAACCAAAACAGCTACAGATGCTGTGAATCAGAAACAAAAAACAAATTGCTGGAAAAGCTCAGGAGGTCTGATAGCATCTGTGGAGACAAAGCAGAGTTAACGTTTCAGGTTGAGTAGCCTTCCTCAGAATTGCTTTCTTAGAAGCCTGCAAAGTGGAAATTCTGAAACTGACAAAGCAAAGGAATCACAGATATAAGTGGGCATGGACTGGACCAGGGGCGAGAAGACCCAGTGACAATAGGAAGAGATGGGTTCTGTGGGACAGGAGCAGGCAGAAATAATGTGACTGCGCACGTGCGTGTATATATAAAAGGTGACAGCACCAGATGAAAGGAGGTTGGTGACCGTGGTTGACAAGATGGACTGAAGTTCCATAGAGTTGTTTTAGTGGGAGCAGGAGGAGGTATCTGACAGCTGGGGCTCATCCTCTGCAAAGTTGAGGTCAGTCTGCGTCACAACAACAGCACCACCCTTATCAACAGGCTTAACTACAAAATCAGGGTTAGATCTGAGAGCATGAAGTGCAGTTGGTTTCTGGTAGAATAGGTTGAATGGGTTAGAATGGATAAGGGGCAGAGAACCAATGTCACATTAACTGCTCTCAATGATCAGGTCAATTGCAAGTAAAAGGCCAAAGGGAAGGGTTCAGCAAGCAGGAAAAAGAGTGTTGGAGGTGGGCAAAGTGGTCTGCGGGGAGGGGACTCTTATCTGAAGAAATAGACATGGAGATGAAGGTGACAGAAGAAGAGTTCAATGTCATGTTGTGTCTGAAATTTATTAAGGTGGGGATGCAATAAAGATCTTTTTGGACAGGACATTCAACATCAGAGAGCGGATGGTCAGGAGTAATGGTGAATACGTAGCGGGAAATAAGGCTGGGGTGAGTGGATACAGTCAGAGGGAAGAGACGGGGAGGAAAGTTCCTGAGGGTAGTGGGTATCTCTAAGTTGTTGCATCTTGTGTGCCTTGATGCCTGAGGGGGAAAGGAAAAGTTTCTTGTTAACACATCAAACGAGCTGGAGGATGAAGAAGTGGAACTGGGGAGTGGTGCAGCCCTGGGCCAGCATAATGCAATGCTTTTGGAGAGGAGGTTGAGAGTGTGCATTTGATGGTGCATGGCACTGGGTTTTACTAAAAAACTTCTGTAATTACTGCTGTGACAAGGCATGCATTAGGCTAGTCTTCATTATTTTGGAAATCAGGTCAGATTTTGGTTCATCCGAGTCCACTTGCCAAGTGCAATTCCTAGCCCCAACAATCTTACAACTTTGTGTCATCCCGATCTGTGATTTCTAACAATTCACACACCTGAGGTGGAGTTACATGCAAAGGCCAAGAATAATAGTGTTCCTTTCAGAAGAACTGCACCAAATAGCATCCTCAAGAATATACTTCATAAAACAAAAGCAATTTGTATTTCTTCAGAACAAATAATTTCACATGGTGGCTTTTTGAGGAGTAAATTAAAATATAGTAGTTTAAGATTGTTGTACTGTCATCCAGAGCACAAGTTTGCAGTAAATTTAGAAGTAAATGCACCTTTTAGTTCTTTGTGTTTTAAATCATGCTCTTTGAAACTGAACTCTTAGCAATACAGAGCAGCACTGGCAATTTACAAATAAGTAATGAAAAAGCATTGAAAAATAGAAAAATCCAGGATGCAAACTTGGGACTGCAAACATGGGACTCTGTTATATGCAGAGCTGGAAGTGCCAAAAGGTGACTGGTTGACCATTGATGTGTGCACTCACCATGACAGCTTCACTTTACCTTTCCAACAAAGTCTTCTGTTGTGTACAATGCGTTCCCTGGTAACCCTATTTTGGCCTAACTCAAGGTGGAGAACAGAAGAGGCTCAACAATTCACCTCACTGACCAATACAAAAATAACAGGAAAGTCAGCTCTAACTCCTTTTCCTAATCATTTTTCAGAGTGCTTTTGGAATTTGGTAGATTTTGTAGAAGTGGGTCAATTTTTCCTATGTTCAAATAACCTGCAGGGCTCACAGCACAAGTGACCACCAAGCTATGATATTAATAGGCTACTGACATAATTTAACCTCATAAATCATTACCTTTAGGAGAGAAGTGCAGATAATTAGAGGAGCAATTTCTTCCAATAAGCACCTACCAAAAATATTTAAAGCCTTAGGGACAGGATACCTGAACTACACAGAAACGAGGAGAATTCAACTTAAACAAAGCTGCAACACAATATAAGGCTTTACACCAGGCAGGTCATAAATAGAGAAATGCTTGAGCCATGAAGATACTGTTACAGCCCCTGAATGCTGTTCAAACCAGCTATTACAATTTTCCTAATGATGCAAATGAACAAACTTCTTGGGCTTGTTTCTTTTAGTGCAGCTGCCAAGTTGTGCAGTTGGTCTGCAGGGGCTGTCACATAAACACTCTGTGGGGTAGCATCACATGACACAAGGAAACTGGACCTTGCCCCTTCCAGACTCTACCCCTCACCCCTTCCACCCCTAATTATCTCCAAATTATGTTCCCAGGATACTTCATCAAAATCAGCTTGCAGCAGGATTAAAAACAGAAATTCAACTGTATGACAGATTTGCTTTTCTGTTTAGATTGCAACAGAACCAGAAATGTTTCTGTGACCCACATCTCCCACTTTGCATAAGTGAAAACATACTTTTTACTTGGCTTCAGGCCACAACAGGAAGAGATGGGAAAAAAAGACTCAACCACAATTTGGCCGGTTGGATTTTACATAACAAAGTACAAGCCTGTATAATAGAAACCTCAAGACATTTCAAATTTCAATAAGAATATATCTGCAGCATATACAATTTACTAAAACCATCATGTAACTAAGATACTTGTGATTCAGAAACAAAAAAACTGAAACAGAAAGACATTTTCTCTATGTTTTTATTCCCCAAGATACTCTGGGAATTCTTACTGAACGTTTCTCACTAGCTTTCAGGCCACCTAGAAAGAGAAACTATTTTTTGTTTTTAATATCACATTCTGAACAAACCAATGCACCTCTTCTACACTTCTGCACTTGATCTTAGCATTCAGGTTTCCATTTTCACCCTAAAACTGTCCCTATCAAAGCCACAAATTGATTCCAATTACACAATACCATCCTCAAGTGTCCTTTCTCCTTTCTTCCAGCTCAAAAGAAATTGTCTTCACTTACTTCTGTTATTAACTATGCAATTGTATCTAGAGAATATCCTCAGCAATAATTCTGCTCCCACCCTTGCAGCTTTACTTTCAGAAATGAAGGATCTGCCAAGACTCATCTTCCTTATCTACACTGAAAATTTGAAGACAAGGATCAGCTTTGACACTATGCTGTGAACACAGAGCAGCTGCACATATTGCTACTTATAGTGGAGCTAAAGACAGTGGAGCAAAGGTGCGAAGAAGGACAAGGGCAAATGCAAGAGATAGCAGATCAGAACTAAAATTAGAAATGGTTATGGATGTAGAGTGCATTTCAACACCTGAGGGATTTATTTGTAGGAACAAGCATTGTAAATTCAAAGTCAGTATGGCTCAAATTGAGTTTTGTGTGTTTCTGCATGCAGGAGGCAGAAATAGAGACGACTTTGTATACAACAGGGTATTATTCATAAATATCACAAAGAGGATGCTTTTAAAGTCAAATCTGAGGTGATATCAATAACAGGTCCAGTCACAGAAAGAGTAGGTAATGTCCCTATGGTGATGGAGAAAATATGAAATTTGAAGCTTTACTCTGTATCAAGCAGAACTTTGAGCCTAGTGTTGTCACACAAGCAGCTAATGATGGAGTCAGTGGTAGGACTGGAGAGATTTCTGGCTGGGGTGAAAGACAATGCCTTGGTCTTTCCGAAGGAAATTCTGACTCATTCAAAATATAGCAGTCTTTAAGAGAAGAAATCCTGGTGGCATGAAGTGCAATCAAAAGCCAGATTCAGTTCTCACCAGCATACAAATGAAAACTAACCCCATGCCTGCATGGGGCAAAGTGTAGAAAGTCACCCTCGTCCCACAGGACCATAAAGCTGCTCTCATTAGAGAAAGAAGACTGGTGGTGAGTTGAAACCAGGGGTCACCATAGTTCAGGAAAGGCCGAGAAGGCAGGACTTTCAATGGTAACCTCAGCCGGTGTGGGAACCAAACTAATACAACTGGCATCACTCCAATATCATCAGAAATCAATCATCTAGTCAACTGAGCTAACAGATACCCAATAAGAACAGGAGGTGGTAAAAGATGGATGTTTGGGGAATTTCAGACATAATCACATGGAGAAGTAGCTGAGGAAGTTACTGTGAAAGGCTGGAGCACAAGTACAAAAAAAAAGGGGCTGGGTTTATCAAACTCCAAAAAAAAAAGCAAGAATAGCAACTCAGTTATGGAAAATATTGTTGGGGTATCTTGTTTTCCTTAACAGGTGTTTGGATGATCATCTGAATGGAGTCTTCCAAAATTAGGAATCCCAGACACAGTAGAAATATGAATTGAGGTTGAAGCCTTGATATAGTAATCACACCATTAACAGCTGCCCATCCAATATCCAATGAATGTCACCCAAGCACAACGCAATGCCTATCCATGCTCTCAAGACCAATCACAACATTGTCATCAAACCAGCAGACAAAAGGAATGCCATTGTCATACAGAATAGAACAGACTACTGCAAAGTATACTGACAACTGAACAACTAGGAACACAACAGACAACTACCT